GGGAGCGCGTGGTGCCGGGGCGGAGGGGGAGGGGAGGCTGGGCAGCGTCGCCGCGGAGCCCGGCTCTCGGGGTGGTGCACAGGTGGGGGAGGGACGTGTAGGCGTCGCCGCCGCCGCTTCGGGGACCGGCTTAGGCGTAAAGGTCTCGGAGCGGGTAACCCGAGCTGATGGGCCTTCAAAGAGAGTATCAGGTTCCGTCTGCAGCCTAGCGAGAGATGAGCGGTGGGGGAAATCAAATATTGCCCCCTTTCTCTTAGAATTGTTAACCCTTACTTGCGTTTGGCTCGGATCCTTCTGAGATGGTCCTCCAGCCTCCGAACGCACACCCGCGCGTAAATTACACCCCGAGGCCTCTTCGGCGGTGAAGATTTTTTGCCTTACAGCCCTTCAAATCCAGGTGCAAATTCAGCCCCAGATTGAGCGGCTGCTCTGCCTTAGAAGTCCTGGAACCGTGCACCGTCCCCCGACACCCAGTAGCACATCAAAGGAGAAAAAAAATACAAAAACTTCAAATTTCGTCTACTGTTACAGTCTTAAACACATGTCAAGTGTACCTGATAAATTGTAATGCTGTTTTTTGTATCTCTGACTGTAGACAGAGAAACTAGTTAACGTTAACACAGCTTTATACCAAGAATGTAGGAGGTGCCTGGAGTGTCCGTTTACTCCGTGCTCTGGAATTGTGAGGCTCTTAGTTTGAATTAGTAAGTTACTGCCCATCTGTATTTTTAAAAATAGTTGATTTCTGTTTTGAGCGCAGGTCAGGAGCTTTGGTGTTAAACTTGACCCCAGTTCCTCTCCTAGCTCTGTGACTTAATTAATCAAGCCTTGGGCAAATTACTCCGCTCTGTCTTCCACAATAGGAGTAATACTTGCAGAGATGTGAGGATGAAGTAACACTTGGTTGGTGATCAATAAGTGAGATCAGTTATTTAATCAGTGGCTACCCTTAGTGTGAAAATGTAGTGTTATTTTACCCATCTGGCTTAATCTAAAGTTTTCTACATTTTTAATTGCTTGAGAAATGAGAATTCCTATTTTGGAGATTGTGATTCAAAGTGGTTTGATACGAAAGTATTAAATTATTCGTAGACATACTTTAGTAAATTTTTAAAGATAAAGAGGATACGAATTTTGTGAGAAGCTTTCCGGTGACCTTAAAAGTTACTGATCAACATTGTTAACACCCTATGGACTGGTACCACTAATAGGATCAGATTTTTGGCTATTCTTTCGCTGCTCAGTGTGTTCTTCTAAGTTGAAGGATGAAAGTTAAAGTGCAGTAATTGTCTCGATTTTAGACGAAACGCCATAAAATACTTTGACTTTGTTTCTTTGTGGTGATAAATATTGGTCCCACAGTAACTTTATTAGCTTGTCATATTCAGAATTCCAAAACCATAG